GAAAGTTTCCCTCGCTCCTTGCTCTTCTGGTTCTAGCCATAGACCTACAACTGCCTATCAAACAGTTCGACGTGAAGAGTGCATTTCTCTTCGCTCCCCTGGAAGAGGAAATCTGCATCAAGACTCCAGAAGGATCTACCAGGACGGCTCCATATCTCAAACTGGTCAAATCGCTGTATGGCCTAAAACAAGCACCGAAAAATTGGTACGAGACTCTTACTCGCTGGTTTGAAAAAATCAGATATTGTCCCTCAACCTCAGATGCCTGCCTTTTTATACACAAGGATAAAAATTCCTTCATTTTCTTCCATGTCGACGACCTGATAGTAGTAGGGCAAGTGGACCAATTTGAAAACCTTTTCCTCAATCGCTTTCCCAATTCCACAGCTCACTCTCCTGATACACTCTTAGGAATGAATCTCAATGTCCATCCTGACTGCATAGAGCTGTCGCAGCCATCTCTCATTGAGAAGGGTCTGGAAATGCTGGATCTAAAGGGTTGCAGGGCTGTCAAGACTCCTTTGACTCCAGCTGTTCAACTGCACTCAGCGACTGATGATGACCACCAAGATTTTCTCAAACTCGGCATAAACTACCGCTCTTTCACCGGAATGCTCAATTACTTGGCATGCCGAACTAGACCTGACTTGGCTGCGGCGGTGTCGATTCTTTCTAGGTTCAATCAGCGGCCGGGGATCAGTCACTGGAAGGAGGTGGTTCATTGCTGGAAGTACCTCAAGGGAACCAAGGACCTTGGGTTGCTTCTCAAACCTTCCCCTGACTTGTTCATTGATCGACTGAATTTTTTCACAGACGCTACCTGGGCTGAAGATCAAGAGACCCGGATTTCACAGAGTGGATCTCTTGCCTTCTGGAAATCCTGTCCCATCCTATGGAACAGTAAGAAGCAGAAGAACATCACAATGTCATCCACGGAATCCGAAATGAATGCTCTGTCAGATGGTGAGCAGGAAAGTCAATGGCTCAAATTTCTAATAGAGGAACTCTGGAAGAAGACGCTGGCGCCTACTCTCTTTTCTATTGACAACAAAGGACTGCTTGAGAAATTGAAGAACTTTGGCTCAAACTCTAAGACGAAGCATCTAGACATAAAAATCAAAAGTCTTCGTGAAAAATTCAAGAAGAAAGAGATAGATGTCAAACTCATTACTTCTGAAGCTATGCTAGCCGACTCCCTTACCAAGGCCGCGCCCCTTCAATCAGTTCTGAAACTTCAAGATAAATGTCTCTCAGCTCTTTCATCATCAAACAAGGAGGGCTGTTGAAATTTCACTGTAATGTCACTCCCAAATCACGCCCGCTACAGCTCCTGATCCACAGCAAGATAATGAGATTTGAAGTTACAACCACTTAGGTTTGTACTTCCTTCGAGTTAAAAAGACATCGCTGCTAGTTCCTGTAATCCTCAGACTCGACAAGATATTCGACCTCTCAGCTTGCTCAAATTCAATAACCACACGCCTCAAGATCCTTTCGATCCTTTCGGCATTCATACGCTCACATCTTTCAAGACCACACTGTGTAAAGTACACCCACCTTGTCGTGCTCGGCCTCACTCGTGCTCACTCAGTCTCTTCTCCTTCTCGCCTCAAGATTGATCCTCGACACACTCAGGAACTCTACTCAAAGGCACCAAAAAACTATTCAATAAAGGCATCACGTCTGAACCAACGTGCTGTTTGTTATTCTTTTCTTCTTTCTCTCTCTCTCTCTCTGTCTCTCTTTTCTTGTTGTTTGTTGATGAATTCGCTGATTTATTTTCTTAACTCATGTTTCCTCTTCTATTCTTTTCTCAGTCTGATTACATCAAATTCTTACTTCTTACTTCCACTCAAAGTCCTCATCTTAATTCTTCACTATTTCCATCCTCTCAGTGGTATGCCTTTTCTCTTGAGCTTTTTATTCTTGATCTTGTTTCCTTATATTCTTGTTTTCTCATCCTTTTTGTGTTTAGTCTGGTTTTGGTTTTTAGCTCTCAATTCAGTATTTCTTCACTATTCTTCAAGAGTCCATACTCTTGTTCTTTTCTTGTTACCTTACTCATCCTAGTTCCAGAGAGGCAGCCCATTAAAGCACTATTCCCTCTCAAGCTCTATTCATCCCGACTTTGCGTCCAAGGCTTCCTTCAGACCTACGGAGAAGATTTTTTTTGAGACCTTCGCTCCTACCGGAAAGTTTCCCTCGCTCCTTGCTCTTCTGGTTCTAGCCATAGACCTACAACTGCCTATCAAACAGTTCGACGTGAAGAGTGCATTTCTCTTCGCTCCCCTGGAAGAGGAAATCTGCATCAAGACTCCAGAAGGATCTACCAGGACGGCTCCATATCTCAAACTGGTCAAATCGCTGTATGGCCTAAAACAAGCACCGAAAAATTGGTACGAGACTCTTACTCGCTGGTTTGAAAAAATCAGATATTGTCCCTCAACCTCAGATGCCTGCCTTTTTATACACAAGGATAAAAATTCCTTCATTTTCTTCCATGTCGACGACCTGATAGTAGTAGGGCAAGTGGACCAATTTGAAAACCTTTTCCTCAATCGCTTTCCCAATTCCACAGCTCACTCTCCTGATACACTCTTAGGAATGAATCTCAATGTCCATCCTGACTGCATAGAGCTGTCGCAGCCATCTCTCATTGAGAAGGGTCTGGAAATGCTGGATCTAAAGGGTTGCAGGGCTGTCAAGACTCCTTTGACTCCAGCTGTTCAACTGCACTCAGCGACTGATGATGACCACCAAGATTTTCTCAAACTCGGCATAAACTACCGCTCTTTCACCGGAATGCTCAATTACTTGGCATGCCGAACTAGACCTGACTTGGCTGCGGCGGTGTCGATTCTTTCTAGGTTCAATCAGCGGCCGGGGATCAGTCACTGGAAGGAGGTGGTTCATTGCTGGAAGTACCTCAAGGGAACCAAGGACCTTGGGTTGCTTCTCAAACCTTCCCCTGACTTGTTCATTGATCGACTGAATTTTTTCACAGACGCTACCTGGGCTGAAGATCAAGAGACCCGGATTTCACAGAGTGGATCTCTTGCCTTCTGGAAATCCTGTCCCATCCTATGGAACAGTAAGAAGCAGAAGAACATCACAATGTCATCCACGGAATCCGAAATGAATGCTCTGTCAGATGGTGAGCAGGAAAGTCAATGGCTCAAATTTCTAATAGAGGAACTCTGGAAGAAGACGCTGGCGCCTACTCTCTTTTCTATTGACAACAAAGGACTGCTTGAGAAATTGAAGAACTTTGGCTCAAACTCTAAGACGAAGCATCTAGACATAAAAATCAAAAGTCTTCGTGAAAAATTCAAGAAGAAAGAGATAGATGTCAAACTCATTACTTCTGAAGCTATGCTAGCCGACTCCCTTACCAAGGCCGCGCCCCTTCAATCAGTTCTGAAACTTCAAGATAAATGTCTCTCAGCTCTTTCATCATCAAACAAGGAGGGCTGTTGAAATTTCACTGTAATGTCACTCCCAAATCACGCCCGCTACAGCTCCTGATCCACAGCAAGATAATGAGATTTGAAGTTACAACCACTTAGGTTTGTACTTCCTTCGAGTTAAAAAGACATCGCTGCTAGTTCCTGTAATCCTCAGACTCGACAAGATATTCGACCTCTCAGCTTGCTCAAATTCAATAACCACACGCCTCAAGATCCTTTCGATCCTTTCGGCATTCATACGCTCACATCTTTCAAGACCACACTGTGTAAAGTACACCCACCTTGTCGTGCTCGGCCTCACTCGTGCTCACTCAGTCTCTTCTCCTTCTCGCCTCAAGATTGATCCTCGACACACTCAGGAACTCTACTCAAAGGCACCAAAAAACTATTCAATAAAGGCATCACGTCTGAACCAACGTGCTGTTTGTTATTCTTTTCTTCTTTCTCTCTCTCTCTCTCTGTCTCTCTTTTCTTGTTGTTTGTTGATGAATTCGCTGATTTATTTTCTTAACTCATGTTTCCTCTTCTATTCTTTTCTCAGTCTGATTACATCAAATTCTTACTTCTTACTTCCACTCAAAGTCCTCATCTTAATTCTTCACTATTTCCATCCTCTCAGTGGTATGCCTTTTCTCTTGAGCTTTTTATTCTTGATCTTGTTTCCTTATATTCTTGTTTTCTCATCCTTTTTGTGTTTAGTCTGGTTTTGGTTTTTAGCTCTCAATTCAGTATTTCTTCACTATTCTTCAAGAGTCCATACTCTTGTTCTTTTCTTGTTACCTTACTCATCCTAGTTCCAGAGAGGCAGCCCATTAAAGCACTATTCCCTCTCAAGCTCTATTCATCCCAAAGAGTAGTTCCACACCGTCCGGAGGCGAGATGTCATCAGCTGTCATCAGCTTGACATTTGAGAATGGTTGAGTTGACTGGAGGGTCAGCCCGCCGCCAAGCATTGGGTCAAGCCGCCAGGTGGCTCGGTTTGTGGTCAGGAAGGTCAACCGATCATTGCTTGCCCGTCAGTGGTCAGGCAGTCACTGGTTGTCTTGACCATCCAGAGGCAAGATGTCAACAGATGTCGCAGCTTGAGCCACCCGCTGGAGACCTGACCTGACAGACCCCACCGGCTGTCTCACAAAGGCTTGCCAGGCTGCCTCAATTGATCACCAGTCAGGGTGACAAATGTGGAGCCGTCAGCATGACGTCGGCTCCTCTCATTTTATGACACTGCCAAATAGTGTCAGTGTTCCTCTTTTCAGGTGAGAGGCCGAGAAAAATTGGTCTTGAAAAAAAAAAAAAATTAAAAAATTAAAAATGACTTGGCAAAAAAAAACGAGCTTACCTATAGGGTTTGGGGGGTCAAATCCCTGCAACCGAGCATCCCAGACAATCAACTGTGGCCAAGCAGTTAGTCGATTCCCTTATGGTCAGCAGCAATCATGCAAATGTGTCTCCTGGGATCAATTCCTTGGAGCTTTGTCTTTTTTAGCTGCTTGGTCGGGGCAGGAATCTTACAGTACAGCCTATTTGCCCTGTATGCATGGCCTAGGCTCGGAGAGCCCAAATTTTGGCCTCCCACGGCACAACTTTTGCGCTCTGACGGGTGACCCTGCAGCTGCTCATGCAAGGTGCAAATCTCATGGACCGATGACAGCAGTGAAGGGCAGCTTGGCGGCAAATAGCGGTCAGGCCGGCAACATACACCAAGAATCCATAATCCCAGGCAGGGTCAGCTGCCTGGGATATTTGTTTGAGGTCGGCGGGTTATCGTCGGACCACCCCCATCCCGCCAGGTGGACATGGGTCAACGCCCCGACCACGCCGACCCCCTGGCTGCAAAGCTGCCAATTTGACGTCGGCAGACAGGAAGGTTTGGCTGGGTCGGCGGAGGTCGGGTTGTCCGTCAAGACTCCGGGCGGGTTGCCGTCGACATGCTCCCGTGGTGTACCTTATCCTGTTGTTGTATGTCCTACGTAATGAATGTTCCTCCTCTTGTAATGAATGATAAGTGTGTGTATTATGTAACTATCACCTATTCTGTATGCTTTTGGCATTGGAACAGGCACAGCACACCACAATGTGTTGCGGAGCGGAGAAGTGCAAGAAATCTCCTAGGGCGCGCCTTACTTTCCACAACGTCCATCAAGCTCCGGTGCCCTGGGTTCATATCTTTCCAAAGATCTTTCCTGGCCAACCAGGCCAGCCGAGCAGACTACCCCAAGTTGCAGGGTGTGCTCATTGTCAGCCTATACCGTCACCATCTGAGCTTAGATTGAATGGACCGTTGTCCGATTAGCCCTCATGCTCAGTAAAATAGCCTTGCCTGTGTAAACCCTGCATGTTGTTGTGATGTGCCATAAATTTGAATCTATGCAATCATGAAAAATTACAACTGCTCCATGTCCCTAACCCCACCGGTGGGCCAATGTGCCCCAGAACAACCGGTTGGTGGTGTTTGAAGGCCCAAAGGCCCTTCAAACATTGAGGGTTTATAATTGTCCGAATTATTTGAGTACTTGTGTTTTGAAATAAATTTTGAACTTTTTTCCTTTTTCATTCCTGTTACGTTTTCAAATGGTTTTCGATTAGAAATTCCGAAAATTCAAAATATCAGTTTATAATTGGGGCCTAATGCAGTTGAGTATGATTAATCAAGGTTTGAGTAGATCAGTTGGCTCTGATCTTGATCTAATTCGGCTTTCCCTTGCGAAAGTCTCAGGAAAACCAAAAAGCTCAAGACCATCATGTCGGTCAGTATCTTTCTTCCAGGATCTTAGAGTGATGAAACCAGAAACCAGCTGAACACTCACATATTTATTGATCTAGTCCAAGCTTCCCTCAGTCGACCAATCCACCGATGAGGACCATCAACCAATTACTAAAAACTTCTCAAACGTGAGTCAACTAGTGTACTTCGCTCAAACACCTGCAGCCAGATAAAGACTGACCCTGATCTCATCTTCCGACTTCTCTGATGAGATGTACAGCTTCAAGTCGATTACGTCATCGTCTTCTCCCTATCACCACTCCCAAATCAAAACAAACTTAAGAAACAAGCGATCGACGAAAGATCAAAGCATACCAAAGAACTACTAGAAGAGTACCAACTACTCATCCAGAGGTTGAAATCTGCTGGGCTCTCAGCAACCAGTCGACCAGGATCAAAAGGCTCCAACCAACTACTCATCCTCGTCACCGCACACAACGAAACCAGAATCAAACAAGAGATTCAAGCAGAGAGGTATGTAGGATGCAGTTCTCCAATCTACATTGAAACAATTCAAAAAAAAAGAAAAACATGGGTTTTGACATCTGGTTTATTCTTCAGAATCGCAGATTGGTTACATGGCATCACTTGTGTCAAACCTGAATCAGATCTAGCCTCCAGCTTCATCTCACAACCCCACACACCAGCTGACCGACTCCGACATCTATACAACATCATCACACGGGATGTCCAACCGAACAAGAGTGAATCGCCGATCACAGCCCATCCACATCGACCCTTAGTCGGCATCGGAGCCGGAATCATCCCCAAACAGGCCCCCTTCGAACACGTCCAATCCATCTTCCCACCACACGATACTGGATTTAATCAGACTTGGCTATCCCAATGGAGCGATCGTTCTCATCTGACGATCCAAATCCCAGAAGTAGAACTAGATAGGATCAAAGAAATCTACGGAGAATCCATCGGCTTCTACTTCGCCTTCCTCAACTTTTACTTCCAAGCGTTAATCTTTCCGACCGGTTTAGGACTCATCTTCTGGCTGACTGGGATGACTTACTCGTCTATCTATTCCTTCACACTCGCTATTTGGTCTATCATCTTTCTCGAGATTTGGAAGGTTAAAGAAAAACTTTTGGCTATCAATTGGAATTCTTTTAATTGTCATAAAGTGGAAAAGAAACGAGTCGAATTCATACATGAACGGGTCGTCAAACATCTTGTCACTCATGAACCAGTTGGCTACTTCCCATGGTGTAAGTCATTTCCACACAAGATCTCAAAGCTTTCCTTTCTTAGAAAAAAAAAAACAAGCTCATAACATTTTGTTTTATCTACAGGGAAACGTGAATCTAGAAGATTGGTCACGATCCCAGTTTTGATCTTATTTGCGTTGGGTATCAGTGCCTTGATCACCGTGATCACGGCGGTAGAACTAGTGGTTGCGGAAGTTTACACTGGACCGTTTAAGAAAGCATTGGCAAGTACAACGTACTGGATAGTAAACTAACATTTGTTTCTTACTCACTTTTTTTTACCTAATTTCGATTCAACAGGCATTATTACCGACTGTTTTATTTGCAGCGTCGGTACCACAACTAGTAGGATTATGGCAATCGACGGCGATCAAACTATCCAACTGGGAGAACCATTCCTACAACTCGACATACGACCGATCCCTGACCCACAAGGTTTTTGCAGTCCATGGCTTAGTAGCCTATGCAGGTCTAGTCCTGACGGCGTTTATCTATGTGCCCTTTGGGACGATCCTAGTTCCCCATCTAGCGGGTCTTGCGCATCGGTTGATGAAGCAAGAGACGATCCGATTAGAGGGCTCAGCCGACCAATATCTCAACACTCGTGCCCTCGACTTCTCCACCTACTCAATCAATACCGCCCGACTTTATGAACAGTTGTTCGCATACCAAGTCACTAATCAAATAGTTGATACCTTCTCAGAAGTCGGTCTTCCTTATCTCATCAAAATCGTCTCCTTCAGATGGAACAAGCTCCGCTCAGAACGTGAGGTCAAACGGAGACTCACTAAAAACTCCCCCGAGATCGATCCGTCTTCTTCTTCCGTTGATCCAACTGCTGCTACTACCACCAAGACCACCACCACCACCACTGCGATGACGACGGATGACGCTCCTGATGAACATGAACTGTTGGAACGCTTAAGGGAAGAAGCCAAGCTTCCAGAGTATCGATTGTTTGTTGAATATGCAGAGATGGCAATCCAGGTAATTAGATCTTATTTCTCTTCACTTTTTTGAAGAATGAAAATAACCTTGTACTGGTTAACGCTATTTTCGCAATGTGCTTCTCTCAAAAAATGCAGTTTGGATATGTAGTATTATGGACAGCAGTTTGGCCGATTTCACCATTATTTTCATGTGTGAACAACTTTTTCGAGTTACGAACGGATGCGATTAAGTTAGCGAAGCACAGTCGCCGGCCGATCCCAAGCCGATGTGATTCGATAGGACCATGGCTAGATGTATTGAGTACATTAACATGGCTAGGGGTGATAGTGAATGGATTATTAGTCCATCTATTCCAGCCGAGTGGGAGGGCGGTAGAGAAGGGATTGAAGCACGAGGAAGGCGCAACGAAGAGTCCGACGACGATTGTCGCGGATCTGTTTGCGGCGGCGATAGTGGAGACGAAGGGCGGGAGTGAGTGTGAGGGCACAACTCTTTATGAGCGACTTGCCGGGATGCTGCTGTCGGCTTTGATCCCCGTCCTGGTCTCCGAACACGGCTTCTTCCTCATCCGTTTCTTCATCCGCGAAGCCATCCTCAGACTCTATTGGAAAGACAGCCCCGCCGCGCTCAAACAGATGCGTGCAGACTGGAACCTCAAACAGTCCTTCGTCGATCGTCTCGACTTCAACGACCTTCAACTCCCCCCCACTGCTGACGAATACTTCCTTAGATCTCTCGTCCATCATATCGATCCTCATCATCCTGATCTTCCTTTCTGGAGTAGAGATGACCCCGCTCTTCATGAAATTAACTCCCTTATGAAAACTGAATAAATATCTTATTCATTCAATTATAATCTATATTGATCCTTTGCATATTTTTTTTCACTTATCTACTTTTTTTCAATCCCATGAAAAAAGTAGATTTTTCTTTTCTGTTTCTCTTAAAACATAAGTGTTGTATGTACACTTAACTTAACTTATATAGACTGATCAAAACTTAACCTTCACAATTGACAAATAACCCTTTGTTATAGGACTGTCAGACTGGTCAAGTTGAACCTTGCAATCACCAAGTCCACTAAGTCACACTCCAATCCTAAAACAACTCATTCAAAGTCACCTGATAATCTGATAACCATCATGCTTGATGGTCATCCAACTGAATTAAAAAAAAAGAAGATTTCCTACAAGAAATGCTTCAACACAAGTGATGGGCTGCACTCCAATAAAGAAGTGGAGTCATCATTGATGCTTTTTGTCCTGAAATCAATTAGTCTTAAGCTTCTGTGTCTGCATCTGTTATTTTTTCCCCCTTTTTTTCAATGTTTTTCTTCTTTTTCTATCCCATTGGTCTTTTGTTTGACCAGGAGCTAATGTCCAATTGCATTCTGTTCCCAAGGATCTGGTTGTTGGTGTCACATTTGTAAAAGGGCACACCTGAGGTTAGAGATGGTCGTGTTGCATCCGGATATCCGCGCGGATGCGGATATCCGGTTGCTTTTTCCGGGGAAAGCGGCATCCGCACCCGCATCCGCATCCCCTGGCGGATATCCCCCCGCTGTAAGACTCAAAAGTGGTTATGAAACCCTTTTGCTGAATGGAGAAGGGTATGTTGGAGTTGCAAGCTCTGCCCTTCTATACTATCAGAATAACAAGACCACCAAGCTTAGCTTGGCAATTTTATATATAGTGATAGGGATAAGTTCAAGATGAAGCTGCCGATTGATATGTGTGAGGGTATAAAGATGTTATTGACTGTTGGTTATATTGATGAAGTTGTTGTTGTTGAATATGGGTCAGGGCACTTTTGGTTTATGATGTTGATGAAAGTGTTAAATCTGTATTTCAATGTATATAATTCTGAAATTGTAATGTGGCTATGACTTGTAGTTCTGAAATAATATATAAGATGGATTTATTTATAAGGGTGATTGAGATGATCTGGTCCACTGGTGGGATGATCCCAGGTACAACTGGCAGGCAGAGGCCTCCTTATATAGACAAAAGTGAGGGATTTTAGCTCCAGGGTACATGCATCTGAGGGATTTTAGCTGGCCTGAAAATACAATGAGGGAATTTAGCTAGTCTAGTGCATGCAGGTGAGGGAATTTGGCTGGTGAGAGCACTGCCTTGAGGGATTTTGGCTAGCCTACAAGGTCCTACTACAAAGGAATGCATGTGCACCTACAAAGGAATTCAATATGAAATACAAGCCAGTAAAGGAATTCAATATGAAAAAAGGAATTCAATATGAAATATGCATCCAGTATTCAAAATGAGACGTGGTCAGGATAATAATAAAGAAAAGCTCCTGTGACAGCTTGAGATAAGTGTAACTTCTGAACCAGTAGAGATAAGAGGGTAGTTGTAGTGAGTGAGTAGGGGTTATTTTACCTGAGGAATCCATTTTTGAAGTTGTTTTTACCATATATTTCATATTTATAGAGATAATAATAAATTTTTATATTTTTGTCGTAGAAACACAGGAATAATTACCACACCGCCTTAGCGGGTATCCGAGCGGATATCCTCGGATACCCGCCCTCTAAATGTCCGGCGAGGCACATCCTCGCCGGCTGGAAAGGTTGCCTTCCAGCCGGCGAGGCATGTACCTTGCCGGCTGGAAGGAAACCCTTCCAGCTGGCAAGGTACATGTACCTCGCCCGCTGGAAGGAAACCCTTCCAGTCGACGAGGTACACGTACCTCGCCAGCTGGAAGGAAACAGCTGGCGAGGTACATGTACCTTGCCAGCTGGAAGGGAAAGCGAGGTACATGTACCTCGACGGCTGGAAGGAAACCCTTCCAGTCGTCGAGGTACATGCCTCGCCGGCTGGAAGGCAACCCTTCCAGTCGACGAGGTACATGCCTTGCCAACTGGAAGGACATTGCCGGCTGGAAGGAAACCCTTCCAGCCGGCCATTGGTCTCGGGTATCCCAGGGGATACCCGGATATCCGCCGGGATTTGGGGGGGGGGGGGAAAGGACATCCGCATCCCCTGGCGGGTATCCGCTGGCCCTGGTGGATATCCGCCAGCGGATAGCGGATATCCGCAACGGATTATCCCCGCCCATCTCTACCTGAGGTTGTGCCAATAGGCGCCAAAAGATGGCACCATTGCCTGTGTGTTTTTAAAGAGAAAATTTTGTTTTGTGGATTTTTTTTATGAAAGAGGGGTTTTATTTTCATTGAGGCTGCTTATTCTATGTACAGCCCCTTGACAGAACAAATGGAACCCCTTAACTGGAGTCCAGAGGGCAAACCAATGGACTTCAATTTATGCTTCCTGGTGAAACTGTGGAATTCTAAAGAATGATTCTGACAAATTGGATAGGAAATTATTTTGTAAAAACTTTGTGTATTTTTCCCCATTTTCTGATTTTGTTGGGTATTTTTTTCAATCATTTTTCAAAGTAGCTCAGAAAATCATGATCAACACAATTGCACGTGAAAAGAATGACTATAAATGAAAAATTGAAAAAAAAAATTGATCAACAGCATTTTTATTGATTGTGTACTCATCCACCAGACCAACCCTCCAATCAGACACTGAAATTGAATTCAATTTATATATCCCCAATCCAACTTCTTCAGCTCTCTAAACTTTTGATCATTGATTTTTCTCAACTTTTCATTTATAATCATTCTTTTCACACGCAATTGTGTCGAGGCTCCTGAATTTTTGAGCTACTTTGAAAAATGATTGAAAAATGTCAAAAAAAAAAACAGAAAATGAGGAAAAATATAAAAAACAAATTACAAAACATTTTGCTATCCAACATTTCAGAATCATTCTTTATAACTCATTTTACATGATTCTTGTGGAAGTTAATGTAACAGAAGTGAACTGATAAAACAAAGAAAATGATAAAATAACTGTCAGCTTGCTACTATGGCAGAGACAACCTGTCATAGCAAAATGAAATAAAAAAACACATAAAAAATCTAAGAATAAAGTAAAATATTACATAAGTAAAAGAAACTAATTTACTTATGTAAATAACATAAAAACACTTAAAAATATATAAATAACAAGGAAAGATTAGAGAAAACTTTAATTGTTATTACAGATTCTGAATCTACGTACAATTTAACCTAGGGTACCTCAGCCAAAGGTACCCCTAATTGTAACTCCTTCATCCTGTAATACCCACTTAAAGAATTAACAGGTACCCATAGATCACGGGCACCTGAATAATTATGCATTATACATAACAATATGCATATACTCCAAATCTTGTCTCAGATTTGGAGTGTTGTGTATAGTTTGGAAGATAGAGCTGCGTGGCGTGTACTGTCTCCAAGCCCGCGCGCCGCGTAGTCATGCTGCGCATGGTTGACAGGCGCGCCTGACTACAAATTGAGCCCATGGCTCAAGCCCCCGCGCGTGCTAGGTAAGCCCACCCGCCTTGGATACATGCATAACCCCCTCTGGGTTACCAGTATCCAAGGAATGGGCCACAAGCGCCCTAGAATCCTCATTACACGTGACAACAAAGCCCCCACACGTGTAATAAAAATATAAACAAACTAGAATATGCATGAAAATACTACAGTAACCTAGAACATCCTATATTCCAAGTGGTAACACGTGTAGCAAGCCCCAGAAACCACCTCTTGGATATTCTGTGGCCCATTTCCAAGGAAATAACTCCACGTAACAGACTAGCAAGTATCCACAGGTTCCTGAGGGACATTCTTGGTTCAAATAAATTCGTGCAAGACCCCTGGGAACTTCTAGAACATTATCCCCAAGGTTTCAGCCCTTGTTGCGTCACCATGTGGGCTAAAATGGGCCACAAAGCGCTCCCAAGTCCTACTAAGCTCCCCTGAGCAACCCCTGAGGTCTTCCACAGGTATTTAAAGGGCCTTCTGACCGCCCAAATAATGATCCCCCAGCTTTACAATACCTTATAGAAATTTACTTACCATTTACAAGTCCCCTACACTTGTAATTAGCCTAGTTACTACTATAAATTACTGTTATTAAGCCTCAAGAACCCTCAAGAAACTCCCCAGTGATCACTCAGCACCCAAAATCCACCTTTTTGAGCGCTTCCAACTGCCCAGTTTCTACTCTGAAGATCCTCAAGACCCTACAGGATTATTACTAGTGAGTAATAACCCTTTTCTTGAGATTTTCCCTATTATTTCTTACTGGGATTTAAACCACCCCTGTTTACAGGCCCCAGTGTACCAGGTACCTAAATCCTCTGCTTTTTGCACGATACCTTTGAGGGATCTAACCACCCCTGATTTATCAGGCCCCTCAGGTTTAATTTATATTAATTTTATTAATATAAATTAGCCACTTTTTTTCCTAAAAATTCCCATAAAATCCTTTCTCTTTATTGGAATTTATTCCTTTAAAATTAATACCAAAAACCTTTAAGTTTTTGCTTACTTTTGCACCACGTGTAGCTAGAAGATTTTATATCTTGGCATCACGTAGGCTGACAATAACAGTCAAGTCCTTGCAGTTTTCATAGCAATAACAGCACCAATTCCTTGTTATGTTAGTGTTTTTGCTAACCTAACTTCCCATTGTTGAAACAAGTATGATTCATTGGTCAAACTTGCAACATATAACATACTCCAGCTTATAACCAGGCCTTTTGAAACTGACTGGATTGTTTTCTGAATCTGGAACTAGTTGGTTGTTCATACTTGTGGAATACTAATATTTAAACAAGTATGATTCATTGGTCAAACTTGTGACATATAACATGCTCCAGCTCATGACCAGGCCTTTTTTGACTGATCAAAGTGTTTTCTGAAGCTTAAAAAAGTATAGTTGATTTTTCATACTTGTGGGATACTGATTTTATATTTTACATCCCCTGCCTGTGGTAATGTTTCATGAGGATTTTGACAAT